CAGAAATCCTGCAGACCACGTCTATGATCATATTTACATCTGTAGACAGATTTAATTATTTTTCTCCTTTGAAGTCAGACATCCACTGAGAATTTTACATCTGAACCGAGTTCCCTTGGAAGTGGGTTATAGATACCAACTAGAGAAAAACCATACAACCCTTTTTCATTATATTCATTATTTTCTCTAGAAATTCATTCAAGGGCTTGGCAACTCTCTGATGGCAAATACAGGAGGGGGAGCTGGTGGCGGACAGAGGCTTGAGCATATTTCGTAGGAGGTGCAGCAGGGCTGATGCAGGAGGCTGGATGATGGCGTGGTTACTATGGGGAGAGATCAGAGTCATCTCTTAGAAGTGGTCCCAAAGATCCAGTGGTAATTCCATCTTCGAAATCTCCAAAGAAGGACATTTTATAATATCATGGTTCATTATATCAAGTCTTAAAAGTTCTTCTTTAGGACCAACCTAAGTCTTTCAGTGGCTGTATTTATATTTGTGACTTCTATTTTGTACATAATTGATATATCCTTTCATTGCTAGTATGAGTGAGCAGGAGCTAGACCAGTGGTTCTTCACTTATGGCCCCTCAAGCCCAGCACCATCCACCTCACCTGGGCACCCACTGAATCAGAAACTGTGGAGCTGGGACCCTGCAATGTGTGTTTTGAAAAACTCTTCAGGTGATGCTGACGCAAACTAAGGTTTAGGAACCACCAAGCTACATGATAACCTGAGGTGGGATGGGTCCTCTGGAGCTGTAATGAAGTTTGAGTAAGGTCTTTATATCACATACACATGCTTTTCAAAAAAGTTCATGGAAAAATTCACATAATGAAAAAAATTATGCAAATAGCTTTCAAAATCTGTTGCACCCAAATAAATTTGTATTTTAATTCCATTTGTCCATGAATTTTTAAAAAGAATCATTTATTTAATTTCATTTATTTATTATTTTTCAACTTGCTACAGGGCATGTAGTAAAAAGAGAAATTGGGGCTGGGGGAGTGAGTCCTGCCTGGTCCAGGACTCAAACTGTGGTCAGCTATATGGGAGTCCAGTGCCTTTAACTGCCATATCACCTGCTGGCCCTGGGTCCATGACTTTTTGAAGCCCCCTCTTATGTCTATAAATGTTTGTGTTCAGACTCTGCCAGCCCTATGTTAAGCCCTAGAGTCATAGTGATGGATAAGATGTGCTTCTATTATCGAAGACTTTATAATGTTATGGGAAGACAGACTTGTAAGTCATCAATGTCCATTTCTAGTTAAACAAGAGGTACAGCCCACATATACAACAGTGGCCCATGAAATTATAATAGAGCTGAAAACTTCCTATCGCCTAGTGACATCATAACTTTCTAACACATTACTCACATGCTTGTGCTGTAAGCAAGTATACTACACTGCCAGTCACATATCTGAGGAGATTATTTGGACCCTGAGGAGACTAGAAAACACATATATACGTATAATGGATTCATATTTCTTCATCTCATAAGAAGGGACTTCAACAATTGTGTGGATACACAACTGAAGTACAAAAGTGTAAAAATTTTTGAAATCCATGCATAATGTTTTTTCATAATATGCATATCCCATGAATTCTTTTGGAGATCCCATTATATGTACTTAAAATGTCCAGGATATCATTTTAAGAAGCTTAACAGAATCCCTTACTGAATTCAATATTACTGAGTTCCTTTACTGAATTCTACATACCACAGGTTAAAATGTGCTGCTTGAAAGATAACTTCTTATAGATAAAGCTATAATAAAATTAGTGACAATTAAACTTTTTTACATCCTCTCCCAACACACTGACATACACACACACACAGGACTACATGGTCCTTAATTACAGATGCACAAAACATGTTTGGTAAGTGACTCAACAAATACAGTTATCCTCAAACTGGTCAATAATTACTTAATGTAAGCATTAGAAAAAAAATCATATGTAAGTTACTGTGTCTTACACATAAGTTATGCATGCAAAATTATGGAGGACATTGTCAAATATAATTTTCTCTGTCATCTTTCAGCAAAAACACTGAAGAGGGAATCATCTTTCAACACTCTACAGTCCTGTTTATTAGCCATAATGTAGGCCTAGGTAGTCCAGATTTCCAAGCCCACCTTCTACTTTGCTTCCTGTCTGTTTACAATTTCCAACCATTTTTACAGTGCAATTAAAGAGGACCTGCATTAACATCAAATATTTATAACTCTGTGATTCTGATTTAGAATTTAGCTTTGGAGTAAAATCCATGGTAAAACTGCCTTTGTTAATCATGGGGCTTGGTCCATCCTCCTAAGGGACTGACGATGCATCAAGTCTCAAGGTCTCTGTATGTCTGCAACTAAAAATGGCAGCAGCGGGATCTTTTGGTTTAATACCAGAGATTTCCACGTCAGGACTTTAATGGATTAAGGTGGGCATGATGCTGGCCAAGAAATGATTTCTGCATGAGTTTCCAAAGCACTCTACTGCAGTTATACCCTACTGAACATTCACCTTCAACTCCAAAGGGTTGGCCATTTGCTTTGAGCCAGGCAAGTCAAAACCAGTAAGATTCAGTTTTGGAATGTTGTTTTAAAGGAGAAATTTTTCTTCTGGCATATTTATTGAAAAAGTAATAATATTATCATTAGTAATAAATATAATAGCCTTTTTGCTACCATGTTGATGTGAAAACAGGCCCCTCTTTGGCTTTAAAATAGCATGTGTTAGATCACATGAATTAGCTTCATGGAAATGAAAGTAATCAGGGCTCTTCCTTTGACTCCATTTTCCTCTGTGTGTCTACATTTTAGGCTAGGTTTTCCCATGCAATAATAGGAGCCACCAGCATGAATAGGCTTATAGTCTATTTTTTCATTAAATCCAGCTGAAAGAAATTTCTCTTTCCATCCAAAATCCAGAATCAAGTCTGACTCAGCCTTGACTGGCTTGGTCATATTATTATCCCTTACCCAATCATAGTGGAAAGGGAAAATGTGGCACTTTAGCCAAATCTAGGTCTCATGCCCATGTCTAGATGTGGATATATTTTCAACAACACTAGAAACAGAAACTGAAATTTGGGAAGGAGTACTTTTCCTGTTATTAAAAGATGGAAAAGAGGATCCTAGGTAGACAAAACCAGGAGAGAAGGAATTTGTCCCACATAACCTTCATAGTAAAAACGCCTCCCCAGGTACAGACATCAAACAGCATGGTTACAGCTTACTATCTATCTACTGTTAGAAGATCATTTCAGAAAAAAAAGAAAAAGGTGAAATCGTACAGACATGCAATGAATACATGTCAAAATTTGTATTTAAGTCATTAAACAAAATGAGAGAACAATACAGATGTCACAACCAGTTCAAAGAAGAATCCAAAGAATGGCTACAGTTTTAGACTGGGAGCATAGAAATAAATTTGCAAATAGATGCAAAACGACCTTTCTCTACCGAGGGAGGATTGTTCTCTCACAAGACAGAATGCAGTTGCATTTGCACAGAAAGGATCATCCGCATTACCACCAGTTTTTTATACCTTATAATTCAAAGGCATTGGGGGGCAGCAGGTGGCATAGTGGTTAAGGTGCTGAACTCCTACATGGTTGGCCACAGTTCGAATCTCAGACCTGGCAACTTGAAAATCACACTGTGCACGTGTGCGTGTGTGCCCAAAATTCCAGGAAGAGATGGGAGAAGAAGAGACTGTGGCATGGCCATCTTCTCTGGGAGATTATTTCTCACTTTCCCTTTTATTGCCTTACTCCTTTCTGGTAAGCACACATATCCTATGGCAAAACCTTTGAAAAACAAATTCAAATTCACTGAGGACTAGTATCAGAAAACCTGGAAGGGGCTGTCCACACAATATGTAATTTTCCATGTGAGATACCCAGCAATCTTTTATGCTTATTCCAAATTTCCTTATATGCTCCCTTCAAAGAAAGGTTACTTTCAATCACAAAATAAGTCTGGTCTCATTAACTCGGGCCTGATTACTTACAGAGGTGCAGCAAGAGTATTAATTTGCCACACAGATTCTCTTAAGTTTGCTTTACTGGAAGTTTCCACATGAAATATTAAATTGCACTGTGAAAAGCCTCTATTATTTGTTATCCTGAGGCTAGGAAGCCAAGCCCCAAAAATCTTTCTCTACCAGATCTTACCTGCAGTACCTGTAAACTCTGATAAATTTCTCTTCCCAATGTATCCCAAAGTTCCCAGTCTATAAGGAAGTGGCCTTCCGTAAGGGTAGGACTCTATTAACCAAAACAAGGCCGCCAGTTTTCTTGGATGGCTTTCTAAGTATTGGTTCCATAAATCCAATCTTAGTTATTTCCTCAGAAGTGGTCACACGTGACTAAATGGGCATCATTCTCAAGTATAACATTCCAGACAAGGCTTGGGAAAATTCCATAGGTTAGCAGTCTCATGAAGCAATGTGTTCCTCAACTAAAATGGTTCTAAAAACCCTGACTTGCTCCACTGGAATGGTCTGAGAGGTGTCTAAGCAGTACATCAGATGCCTGCACCCAAGAGTCTAGTCATGGAAGTTTCAGTAGTTTGAAGTACCTGGTATAGTCCTTTTCCAAGCTCTGAGAACTAACCTGCTAACCTATGGAATTTTTCCAAGCCTTGCCTGGAATGTTATACTTGAGAATGATGCTCATTTAGTCACGTGTGACCATGTCTTCTTTGGAGAAGACATGAACCCTAACCTGGGGTGAACTGCAGAGCTTCAGGCATTCAGGCACGCCTCAGAGAGGAAAAAAAAAAGCTAAAAGAGAACCCATGCACTGACAAGAGCCAACAGCATGAATGGGCTTATAGTCTAATCTTTCATTAAATCCAGCAGAAAGAAATTTCTCTTTCCATCCAAAATCCAGAATCAGTTCTCACTGACTCATCCTTTCCTAGACTGGCTAAGTAATCAATCTTTACAAAACAGAATAACAATCTGTAGACAAGGGTGACTTAAAATAATGTTTATCACTTACAGTTTTCAAAAGTGAAGGTTCTGATGAGGGTTTATCATAAGAATAAGGCAACTGACAAGGAAATTTGGTTGTTCCTGTGTCAAGCAAAACAAAAAAACAAAATAATAGCACCGATACAAAAGATTGCCTTTATGGACAGTGATTCAGCTTATTTTCAAAATGCTCAACATAATTTTTATATTGCTCAACATAATTTTTATATTGAACTCTAGCATTTAATAATCACAAAACATACATGTATGTGTATGTATGTATAATAGGATATGTTTATTAGTAACATTTCACTTACATATATTTAATCTATAGGAAGCTGAGGGGCTGTTCTGATTTAATAAACTTCCCTTCACAATTCTCCAATAGCAGTGTTTCAGATAAACCTAATTACTGGATTGTCAGAAAAGTTATGATGTATTTTTTATATGCAAAAATGCATCATGACTTTTCTGACAGCCCAGTATTTCCAGTAACTTCCACTGCATGAGTGAAAGAACACATCTTTGTGATTGTTCCAGAGAGTTTCTGAGAAATCTCAATGTATTTAGGTGCAAAAGAGAACTTGAAGATTTTATGTTAGTTTTTTATGTTTAGGATATGATTTTGGCAAGGAAATAAAAAAGTTGTCAAAGAATATTTGAACACTTGATTATTATATGATCACAGATGCCTGAGACATCATCCTTGCTGATCCACTTAATAAGGGAAACGAAAACATTACAAGGTAAACACAGTGGATGACATGACTGTAAAGAACCTTTCACTCTTCCGTAAGTGAGGAATCTTTGTTTTATTAATTGAACAAGGACTTACTCAGAATAAAGCACAGAAAATTACTCAGGAAAGACACAGAATCTTTGTTCTTTAGGCAGATCACACATTGAAAGAATAACCTATGTTGTAGGTAAAGTCAGTAAACCAAGAAAACATGCCCATCACAATTCTGCAAAACTTTGCAAAGATTTTAGCACATTTCACTGACTTTTTAGACTCAGGTAGTATAAATTAAGATAAATAAAATTTACATTAAAATGTTATTAACACACAAAGCACTCCGCCATCTTTGAATGAATCTATAAGCAAATATTTTAAATGTTCTCAATTTTCATGACTAATATAGTGTCAGTAACTATAACTTATAAAAGAGATCTAAAAAGGTGCTAAAAGGGTAAAATGATTTGGAGCTAGACACAAGCAAAGTAGAAATATGATTTTAGGACAAAATAGAATTTTGGAAAACCTTTGAAGACCTGGAGCATGTGAACTCTTATATCTCTCAGCTACTATTGCTCTTACTGTAATCACAAATATTTGCATTAAGTAAAACCAAAGTAGCTAACTCCCATTTCATAGAGAAAACAGAAGAGTAAATGATTGACAGCTGTTTGGTACACACTGACGTTAAGCAACCACTCATATTCCTCATACTTCTTCCTTAAGTGACAAAAATAAACTCATTCATTAACTTAGCCCGAATAGTGTCTCTGTGGCGTGTCAAAATAAAAAGGAAAGCAAAAACAACTAAGCTTGAAATTATGCTTCACAATTAATATTTTCATAATGTAACTTAGAAATGACCTACCTACATCAATAGGGTAGTTATCCATTGACTCTGATAATCATTCCCAGGTTGAAGTTGCCCGAAGATCTTGCATTTTGTTTCAAAATGGCATCCTACAGAATAAAATTACTGTTGAAAGCATTTGTGAGGATAATGATTTCATTTTGTTAAACATGAACGTATGTTTACATTTTTTATAACTTTAAACATTGAAAACAAACCTTGCCTGATTATTAAAGCAGCATAAAGCTTAAGAAAACATACTCAAGTATAATACAAAACTTTTTGCATTATAATTGGCTCTGAAAACTAAGAGATAGCAGTGTTTTGTTTTATTTTGTTTTAATTTGCTATAAGACACATGTTTGAGAAAGAGAGAGAGACAGAGAGGGAAAGTGAGAAAGCACCTCTCATAGGGGATGGGACCTCTCATAGGGACCTGCCATAATCCCTTCTCCATTTCCCACTCAGAGTTTTGAGCACACACACAAGTGTACCTGGCATAGTTTTTCAAGTCACCACGTCTGGGACTTGAACTGTGCTGTCAGCCAAGTGAGATCTAGCCACCTTAACCATCATGCCACTGGCTGGCCCTAAAGTAGCTTTTATTAAACCAAACTTAATCTAATCTTGTTTACCAATGATTTATCTTAATTATATGAACTTTAATTATGAAAGCATTTCCTAGCTAGTTTCTATAAGAATATAGTACTTTAAAGCATAGACCATTTACTATTTTAGAAACTCAGTTTTCTTATGTTCTGGGAATTTTAGAAGTATTTACTTTATACAAGTGCATACTGATCTCTATAAATCAATCATAACAGAGCCCCTTTAATTTAAGGCATTTTACAATCTAATTTATTATTTTCCTCAGGTGATATGAAAACATTAAATACTCATACATTGAGAGGTAAAGTCTTTTCTGAATTACAGATATGGAGACACAGAGAAACACAGAAAACTTGGAGCTTTAATCCTAAAATTTTAGCCACAAATCCAGAGAAAACACAGAACACAAAAACTCATGATCTCTCAAGGAGCTGTTCTCATTCCTAATGGGCTCAAAATTTTTACGTGATTTGAATTTGAAAGAAATAAACAGATAAACAAACAATGAAACTAATAAGCTAGATTCTGTCATCTTTCTTCTTTTCTTCTTCTAAAATTATTTTATTGAACTTTATTTATTTTTATGTATTTTAATTTGACTGAAGAGGGACAGAGTGAGAGAGAGAGAGAGAGGGAAAGTGAGAAAGCAAGCTGCCAGGTCCAGGACTCGAACCACAGTCAGCCATGTGGGAGTCCAGCACCCTTAACCCTCATGCCATCCACTGGCCCTGATTCTGTCATCTTTCACCTGATAGAGACTAGATCTCCATAAAGCATTGATCCATGTACAGAGATTACCAAATGGTCTAACCATAAAACTCTATTTCCTATCATCGTTGCTATCAATGGGAGATAACTTATCAGATATAGACAAACCAAAAGCAAAAGCAGAACACAAAGTTAGCAGAGAAGGAAATGAAAATGAAAAGGCAAGAGTCAGCAAAGTACTCTTGCCATTTCAGATGCACTGGATTCAGGTTGGGAGTTAAGAAATGACGTGAACCGTCGTTAACAGCTCTTGCGGGCTCGTCTTTGGCAATGATGTTTAATCAACTCTTACTGGGTGGATCCATTAGGCATCTGGAAGGATCTCTCAAATGGTTAAAATATAATTTTCAAAAGTAAAATCATGATTCTTTTAACAATATAAAATAAAAAGATGTCAGAGGTTTTATATAATTCCTAATTAAACAAAGGAACCAGACGAATAGTTACATCAGACAAGCCAAAAGCAATCCCATATAGTGCAGGAATACTGAAATGAACTTCCAAATGGATGAAAAACTGGATTTTCCATGTGGGTGATGATGATGGTGTGCTGGGGATGAGGTATTTCTTTCTCCACTGGGAGAAACTCTTCATATCTTCAGGGACAAGGATCAACTGTTTTGCCATCAGTTTTCTCTACAACTTACAGAGCTATAAAATAGCTCAGAGTCGAGGAAATACTGTGCTCAGATAACCCAAGTGACTCTCTCTCTCTCCCTCTCTCTCTCTCTAACTGCCAGAGTGCACAAGGGAGAGGGAAGAAGTGTCACATCCTACTTCCCACCGATGGGGCATGGTCATACCACAATCCCTTTTCCTCCATTTCTCCATCCTGTAGGTTTTGGGGCACACACACACACACACACACACACACACACACACATCTAGAATGTTTTTGAAGCCAGTGGGTCAGGAATTCAAACCGGAGTTGGCTTTAAGGAATCTGGCTCTCTTAACCACTAGGCTATGGGGCTGGCCTGATAGATGTCTTCTAAACAGTATATTATACTTGAGACACCCTGTGATCTTTTTTGTTTATTTCAAATTTCCCTATGTTATGAATATGGTCAAACTTTGCCTCCTTTTGAGAAATAATAGGTTTCTACCAAATGAATGCCTTTGAATATTCATATTCTAATTTGTAAATGAGGAAACTGAATTCAACAGTTACTTACACCTACTATGTCCAATATAAAGTGCGAGACCATGTGCCCAGAATTCAAAAATAAGTAAGACATGGGCACTACTGCACAGTTGTGTTTAATAAGATCATGCTTGAGCCATCCTCTTAGCCTAGAGGTTAAGGAGCCTAGATCTCAAATGGCCAACTGCAATTCAAATACAGACACCTGCACCTTGAAAAACACACCTGACTTGTATACATGTATGCCCGAAATTTTGACAGGATGGAGAAATGGAGAAGGGATTGCAGCATATCCATACCACCTTGGGGTGGGGACGGTGCTTCACACCTCCTGTTCACCATCTCTCCTAGAGAGCACACACACACTCTGGCAATTAAAAAAAGAATAACACCAGGACCAGCAATTAGCTTAATGGGCTATATTGTTGAACTTCCATGTAGTCGACTGTGATTCGAGTCCCGGACACGGTGGCTTAAACTCATACCAGCTGTATGTGTGTATGTGCCCAAGATCCAGAGAGGAAAATGGAGGAAAAGGGATTGTGGCATGGCCATCCCCCCTAGGGGGTGATTTCTTGCTTTCTGTCTCTTTGTCTCTCTGTCTTTCTGGTGAGTGCACGTGCCCTATAGCAAAAACCTCTCCAAAGGGGGGGAAAAAAAGAATAACACCATGTTAAATGTGCTTCAGAAAGGCCTATTGTTAGTTATCTATTGTTGTGTAACAAAGCACCTAAATGTGGCTTAAACAATAAACATTTACTTAGCTCTGAACTGTATAGTTGGCGGGGAGTTTCTGCTTTCTAGGTTAGGCTCAGCAGATTTCAGCTGGAATTTCTCATGTGTCTGCAGTCACTTGGTAGATAAGATAAGGACTGACTGATGGTCTCCCCTGGAAAGATTCTCCTCTATGTGGTATCTCATCCTTCAACAGGGAAACCTGGGCTTGTTCGTTCACATGGTATCAAGGGTAGGGTACCAAGACTGTACCAAGAACAGAGTCATGTAAGACCTCTAGTTTTCTTTCTTTAAGTTTATTTTATTTATTTCTTTCATGAGCAAGAGAGGTAGAAAGAGAGAGGAAAGAAAGAGAGAAAAGCACTCCTAAATGGTCCTGATAAAATCCACCCCAAATCACCAGCCAGCCCCATATTATTATAGACAAATGGGTGCCCAGAGTACTCAGGGAGGTCTTCGGACTTTAACCCGGAACTTTCTCATGTGGGATTGCCTTGCAAAATGTTGCATTTTACTGTTACACCAGTGTCAGGGCCCATATGAAAGACTTCTTAAGGCAGAGAAGGCTCTGCTGCATTCTATTGGCCAGAGCAAGTGAGAAGGCTACTCCAGATGCAAGGAGTAAAGGAATAAACACCATTCTCAATGTGAAGAGCACATTGCCAAGACACAGATAGAAAAGGAGATCAGTCTATTAATGCAATTAATCTACCGTATCCCCTTAACTTGTGGAACTTCACTCTCTAGGGCAGGAGGGAGCCACAGCATAAATACCTGCCTCACAAAGTAGACTTTAATAGATACTACCCTAGAGGTACATATCACCACATAGCACAGCAGAACACAAGGCTGCCCTGAGAGAATCTGGGAAACGTCATAGGTGTGTGATTGGAGCTAAGTATGGAAGAATGGGTCTTGGACCTTCCTTCAAAGAGAGTGGGAAAGAGAGTTGAAGATGACTGAAGGGAGGCTGAAAGGCCCAGAATTGCAATGGGAATTTTGTAATTTACAATTACTTTGTAGGTCAGCATCCACAAAGAAATGGTATGGGGTTGTGAAAAGAACACCTATGAGTTCAAATCTTTGTTTTCCCAATAAATTTGGGCAAGTCACTTCTTCTCAATTTCCTTTCATCATAATATTCCCATGATTTGACTACACCGCAACTTTCAAAGAAAAAAATAACCTGTATAGAGCCTCGTGAATAAAATTATAACTTAAATAAAAGACTGAGATGTAATGTGTTTAATCAACAAAGAGTCAATAGTAACAAGATCAATTAATACTAAAATAATACACAACCAAAGATTAACATTCGAAAACAATATTAATAGACAATTCTATGAAAAAGAAATATGACTAAGTAATGAACTTTGTTTTTTGTTTGTTACTTTATTTGCTAGAGGGCATGTGCACCTACCAGACAGATGCAAAGAGAGAAGGGGAAAGTGAGAAATCACTCCCTAGAGGGTATGGCCATTCCCAAATCCCTTTTCCTTCTTTCTCTTCTCAGGATTTAGGGCATGCATGCACATGTGCCTGGCATATGTTTCTCAAGCCATCACATCCAGGACCTGAACTGCAAAGTCGCCATGTGAATCCAGCTGCTTTAACCATCATGCTATTTGACTGGCCCAAGTGATTAATGAACTTCCAAGAGGATGTTCTACTATTCATTACTAACTGGGAAACACAAACTAAATGACAATAACATTATTTTTCTTTAAAACTGGTCAACATGTAAAGACTTATATTATATAGAAGACCTAGAAGAAGAGAGGGAAAATAAAACCTCTCTATATTGTCACACAGGATCTAAACTGGTACACTCTCCACTGAGAGCTATTTGGCAGG